ATAATAATGGAAAACTTTCCTCACCTGGTGAAGGAAGTAAACATACAATCCCATTAAGCTCAGAGTGTCTCAAAAAACAAGAACCCAAAGAGGCCCACACAAAGACACACCATAATTAAAATGCTGAGGGTTAAATATATAGAATCTTAAAAGCAGCACAAGAAAAGCAGTTCATTACCTACAAGGGAGCACCCATAAAACGGGGAGCTGATTTTTCAAAAGAAACTATGCAGGTCAGAAGGGCTTGGCACAAAATGTTCGATGTGATGAAAACCTAGGATCTACAACCAAGTATATTTTATCCAGCAAGCTATCATTTAGAGTCAAAAGACAGGTAAAGAGCTTCCCAGACAAAAATAAGCTAAAGGAATTTATCAACACCAAGTCAGTATTACAGGAAATGTTGGAGGGACTTCTTTAAGAAGAGAAAACATCAAAAGTATCAAAAACAGGAATAAAGAATGGTAATAACTACATTCTTATCAACAAGTACCTCAAATGGAAAAGAATTAAGTGCTACAACCAAACGATAGAGTGGCTGAATGGATAAGAGAACAAGACCCCTACATATTCTGCCTACAAGAGACTCGCTTCAGATTAAAAGATACACATAGACTAAAAGGAAGGGAATGAAAAAAGATATTGCTCTGATGGATCTCGAGGGTATTGTGCTGAATGAATTGGGTTAGATAGAGAGGTAAATATCGCATGATTTCGCATACATGCGAAATCTAAAAAGCAAAAACAATAACAACAACAAAAGTGTAAATAAACTCATAGATACAGAGAATATTTTTAGGGCTACTAAATGGGACGAGGTTGGGGGACAGCAAAAAAAGGCAAAGGGATTAAGAGGTACAAATGGATAGTTGCAGATTAGACGTGGAGATGTAGAGTACAGCATGGGGACGATGGTTAATAATGTTTTAATAAATATGTAAGGGGGAAGAAGGGCACTAAATTTAGTGGAGTGATCACTTTGCATGTTATGTGGATCTCCGATCACTATCCTATACAACTGAAACAGGTATATTATTGTATGCCAACTCTAATTGAAAAAAAAAAAACTCATTGAATTGTACAATGTAAATACAAGCAACTAGTTGTCTATTATATTTCAATAAAGCTGGAAAAATATATTGTAAGAAAAAGAATCAGAAAACTAAAGGATTTCATTTTACCTTCATTTATTCCTTTTTGGAAGTTCCTCTTTTAAGTAGATTCAACTTTCTAATCTTTATCAGTAGGGCCCTGCTTAATGTTTGTGGTAATGTAGTGGCCAGAGGCTTCAAATATCTCTAGTGTTCTTGTTTGTCTCTCCTCCTGACTTTGGAGTTTCCCTAAGTACTCCTACTCAGAGAGTATATGTCTTGCAGGTCTTTGGTCTGTGACCCACTTTTACTATACTGGAGAACTGCTGATGTGATGGTGAAGTGTGTGGGGAAAGAAAGCATTCTGTAATCTTTCAGGAAGTCTCAGTCTTTAATGGGACTATGTTTGGGGCTGTGGCCTTCATAAGTGTTTCTGACTCTCCTCTAGGGAAATGCCTCTCTCCCCTGCTCCTATTTTTTCCCCTGGATGCAGAATTTCCAATCTATTCCTTGAAGCCCTGTCCCCTGTTGATATGTTCCTCTCACTCACCTCTCACATGAGAAAAGGATGCAGGGGGATGAAGTGGGGGAGAATTTATTTCCTCTAGCTTGGATAAAATTTCAGAATTTCACTCTGCCCAAGTCCTTCAGAGTATCCTTCTGTTATATTAAAAGCTCTGGGCATGTTTCAAAACGGTTTTATATTCCCCCACAGTCACTCCCTCTCCCCATCCTACTCCAGAGCCACCAAGGCACCTTTCTCCATCATCACCACAAGAACCTGTGGGGGTTCCTGGAAGGAAAGCTCATAAAACTGTGGCCCCCAGGATGTCCTCATTCTCAACGGGTCACACTCAGCCTCCAGAAATTTGTCAAAATTATCATTTAAGTCTTCTTACTGGAGCTATAGGTAAGCAGAACTCAGTTCCTGTATCTCTCTGGATGTGCCTATCTCTCCAAATTTCAGGGTGGCAGTTAGCCTTGCAACATTAGTTCTCTGACGGAGTCCAATAAAAGTTGTTGATTTCCAATTTGTTCAGATTTTTCTTATTGTAAAGATAGAAGTGATGATTTCTGGAAGTTTTTTCCCATGATCTTAACATCTTCTATAACCATGGTATATCTGTTAATACAGATATAAGAAATCAACTTTGGTACTATGCTATTAACTAAACTACATACTTTATTCTGATTTCACCAGTTTTTCCATTAATGTCCTTTCTCTGTTCCCAAATCAAATAAAAATAACACATTGTGTTTAGTCGTATAACAGTTTAGCTATCCCAAATCTGTGATAGTTTCTTGGGTTTTTCCTGTTTTTCATGACTTTTTCAGTTTCAAAGTTTTCTCATTTGGGTTTTTCCTGATATTTTCTCATGAGTAGATTGCGGTTATGGTTTAGTGGAAGTGTAGAACAGAGGTGCATGCCTTTTTTATGTATATCAGGGGTACATGATGTCAACATGACATTATCAAGGATGTTAGTTTTATCACTCAGCTTAGGTGGTAGTTGCCAAGTTTTTCTACCATAAAGTTACTATTTCTCTCTCAAATCCTATTAGTCAGAAGCCAATTACTCAATTCAGTACACACTCTAAGGGAGGGGAATTAGATTCCACCTCTCAGAGACAGGAATATCTACATACTTATATACATTATTTGTAAATTTTCTGTAATTTATTTTTATGGTCGATTTTTTATATTAGTATGGATTCATGGACCTTTTTTTATTCTTTGAGTTATATTCCAGAACTTGGTTGTTTGTTCTGTTGATCAAATTTTCTAATTTAATCTTTGTTTGGGCTTACAATTTACTCAATCTGTGTCTTCTAAACAAATGCCTAGTTCCTGTTTCCCTCTAGGTGTGCTTGTCACTCTCTAGAGTTCATTCGTTGTTTATCCTATAACCTCAGTTCTCTGGTTGGTTTGAGAAAAGACATAAAGATATCTCACAAAAATCTCTGGTAAAACATGATCCAAAGGTTCACATGAAAATAATGGATATATAATTGCAATATAATTTCTGACTCCCTGGTTCAATAAGTTTTGAAGTCTTTTGATCCAGGCTGGTTCCATTAAAGAAAATAAAAATAGATTATTTCTTAGTGTCATTTCCATTCTCTCTCTTCGCATCATTTCCATCTGTCCAACACTAGACAGAATCTATTACACACCTGAGGACCACAGTTCTTGGCCTGTTTTACATCCACTCAACCAACACATGTTCTTTTGCCTTACAGCATATGCTCTGTCCTTGCTCTGTCCTCAGTGGAGAACATAGCAAATTATGTGAAACAGAAAGCTTACGTTACTTCCATAAAATGTAGACAAGAAGCAGGGAAAATGTTCAGGCACCCCTCATTCACCATCAATCAGCTCTCATGAGAGGACAGCAAATATCAATGGCAATGAAAAATAAAAATTTTTCAAGTGAGCACACCTCCCAGGATCCTAGGGAAAAAAGCAACGTGCATTAAGGACACAAAGAGGTTGAAAGATTGAAACAGGTCAGAGAGAATAAACCTAACACTATATCATAGATTTGAGAAATTACCTGAAGAAAAACCTAGTATCTAATGTGCCTGATAGATGCTGAGTATTATGGAATGCACCATCTTCTATGATAAAAAATCGTAAAAATGTATTCCAATGAGACCAATGACATTTAAGCTTTGAAAAGTCTTTTTTATCTTATTCTCCAGAAAAGGTTAATTAGAAAGATATTCATACCTATGGAGCATATGACCTGAATGAACTGGATAACCTGTCAATCACTTGAATTAATAAGAAAACCCTGCTCGCTGAGGACTCAAATTATTTGTCAAAAAAAAACAGAGAACTTAATTTTTTCAATTGAATATTAACACAACACTAAATGATGATACCAGAATCACTAGAATTGGAAAAGGAAGCAATAAAATGTCTGAGCCGAGAAGCTGACTATGAGGGCCTGACCGTTCCAGAACTCTTGTGCAAGACAACCTGAAACCAAGACTCACCAATCAGTCTATAGTCTCACTCTAACATCCTTTTTTGGAGGAAGAGCTCCCCACTGGTCTTTGAATCCCCAAGGCAGCTTCTTTGTATGCAACTCCCAACCTGTGGGATGAGCCTGCCAGGCAGTCAGGAGAGCTGACTCTTTCTCTGAGCAGCTACAGGCTACCAGAGTGCTATTACTTCAGTTTCTGCTTTACTAAGCAGAAACATAAGGTCTCATGCTGTATCTGAAAGAAAAAATGACAGCTGGCATTCTTGGTAATGCCCTGAATTGGGGACAAATTTTCTTAAACCCTTACCCAGAAAATAGTGGTTTATATGTAGTCCTCACTAGAATCTGCAGGGAATCTACTATGGGATGTCTTTAAAAAGAGGGCTATGGGCTTCATAATAAATGGAATGGTAAGCCTAGAACAAACACTGAACAGGATTAGGTTTTGGAGTTTGTTAAATATAAGTAAACCAAATTAGGATTATCAAGAATATGACACAACAGGAAAATAAGTCATTTAAGATATTGAATTGTACCAATTTCTTTTTATCTATTAAGATGATCATTGGTATTTCTCCTTTATTCTATTAATGTGAGGTGTAATAATGATTGGGTATTTTTTAAATATGAAAACAACCTTGCCTTTATAAAATATACTCTCCGTAATGATTTTTGTGTCTATTATTTTTCATTTCTTTTTTTTGGTAGCAGTGATGGATTTTTCTCATCTTCTTTCATTCCACCTTGCTGGAAATTACCATGCTTTACAATCCAAGCATCAGCATTGCACTTCAAAGCAGAAAATGCTGAAACCAGAGAAAAGAACACACTGGAAGACTGTGGTGGGTCATGTCCTAGCTATTAATGAGACTGGGAACTTTCCATTTTAAGAAAAGCCACAATCTCCTTCCTGAACATAGATGCACAAAGTAAAATACAGCACAGTGAAGATAAAAATTTGTGATACTAAAGTGAACACCTACATCGTTTTCAAATCCAATGATAATCCATATCGTTTACAGTTTGTAAATGAGGAAAGATAGAATATTTCTTCCATACAGTATTTTATTGTAAGGATGACAACTAAAAATCTATATTTGAAGAATATTAATAAACATATGGTTTTTTTTTTTTTTTTAGTTTTCCCTTATTTCCTTCATAGTCCCATGTTGCTATGCTAAGCATATTTTAGTGCCCAATATCTACTTATTAGCTTATTGGAAGGCCATCCATATTACATAAGAACAATCAGGTCAAAATTGGATTGAGCTGTGTGTGATATAAAGAATGAAAACCTCAGAGTCAAGGGACTATGTGATAGGCCTACCTCAGCTACAAACTAAACATATGACCTTGGACAATTCACCTGGCCCAAACTGTACCTAGGCTTTGTCTGGAAGAGGTAGACCTAGGCCCATAGAATTTCAAAGTTCTTCCATGTTGCTTGAGCCTGTCCAATATAGTTCCTGCCCTCCAAAAATGTGCTATCTAGGGGAAAAGTCAGACATATCCATAAACAATTTAGCTGCCAACCAAATGCTAAGAAGTAGTTTAAAAGAAGTGGAATGATGTGTGTGGGAAAATTTACTTTACGTGGTTCTCTGAAATTCTCTTAAAAGTTTTTATAGAACTGGACTTTGAATTACACTTAAGGAACTCTCTGCTTGGACATGCATGCGTTGCTGCCTTTTGCTTCATGTCTCACAGAGATACACTATTTATGCCACACTTGAACTATTAACTATTAAATGGTCAGTAATTTTTAAATATTTAGAACCATGCCTGGTACTTCATAAGTACTATGTGTTTTTAAATATAAATTAAAATAACTTCCCAGTATGCCTACCATCTTTCTTGATATGCTTCTATGTGTTTCTTAATCTGTCCTTATATCATTTGATGATGAGGCAATAAAGTATCAGACTTGAATTTCAGTCCCAGCTCCAGAAAAAGATCTCTGTTTGACGGATTATGTATAAAGTTGTTTTATCTGTCAAGAAAGACATTAAACATGATTTTGGTGACTAATAGAGAGTTAACTATGCAGCAAATTATTCTGTGATCAAAAATATGCATAAATTGGAAGTAAATTTACCAGCTTAGGGTAATAAGAGCTTATACCAGATTGCTTTTGGTATAACCAAATATTAACTTTTTACTAAGTAAAAGATTATTTTTTCATAAGCTGCAAGTGTCTATATGTATAATCGTGTAGTAATGTGGGCACATTTAAGCACTTACATGTGCCCAAAGGGTTCATAGAATCATTCATTTGTATTCATGAAATTATGCCTCTGCTCTTCCAGTGGATTTTTAGATCATTAAGTCCAAAGGAGCCACACATGGTAATGGCTCCTTTTTGTCCACCGATTTCATGCTCCCAGCACTGTCCTAGCAGGCCATGTTCCTCTATTTAACTTCCTTCCACAGAAATTAGAAAAGGAGGATGGGCATGGGGTTCACAAAGGCTGACAATCAAAGTGTACTATGAAATTTAACTCAGGGTCTCTCATGAGACACTCATTTACTCCAGAGAAGCTGTGCTACTGAAGTTGTATGAATTTCTTGTGTATGCAATGTGAGGGTTATTTGCAGAAACTTATATGTCATAATGTGAAATGTCTATGTGGGTACATTTCTTTGTTTTATATACTAAAGGATAATCAAAGAACACAAACACACACACACACACACACACACACACACACACACACACACAACTATATTGCCAAATAGAAATTAACTCTTCTTTTCCAAGTCCATTTTTCTTTCTTCTCCTTTCCAGCAATGGAAATGTGCAGGAGAGCAAAGCTGTGACTCAAGTCCACACCAGAACCCAGGAAAATTTCTAAGACCATAGAGATGCCATTTAACAGACCAGGGGCCTGTTAAATGCAGGAAGAACGGTTTCATAGGCCCTATGAGGATTAGCAATTAACTGTAGAAAATCTGGACTGACAAGAGGGAACCAAAAGGAGGCATCCAGGTCTGCCAATCTAGGATCAGATGCAGAATTCTTTCAAAGAGGTTTTCACAGCCTGCAGCAGTCACCAGGGATCTATGGGGAAGTGTGGTGGTTAAGAGGCACCTCAGGTTCATTTCATCTGCAGCAGCCATGGAGGAGGGGTTAACACAAGGATGACTCTCAGTCTTTGTAATAAGATGAGCAGTTGGATGGAAAGCAGTTAAGACTTGTATCAGCAAAGTAAAGTCTGTGAAGAAGATATATATATATATTGATGAAAACATGCACACAGAAAATCAGTGTCTCAGAGAACCCCACCAGAATCATACGATCCCCTTGTTTATCCAAAAAAAAGCACAGGTTTTGAAGAGGCACAGGTCCCAGAACAAATCCTTGACCTAAATGTGGAGCTAATGTGGCCAGTTCCCTCTGCTCCACAATTCCTGTTCTCTCACACAGAGCTCACCCACTGACATAGCTATGGGAGTCTGACAGACCTGATGGGAGTCTGTGTTAGAAAAACCTAATCTTTCTCTCCTGAAAAGAGAAAAACCCAATCCTCCTCCTCCTCTGTGTTTCTCCTTTACTTTTATACAGAACACTTCACTTCTGACACTTCTGGTCACCAAACATGTGAGATGTTTTTCCCACACCAAGAAATTTACAACGCCAACTGGCTGTTCTATGATTTAATTCAACTCTGACACTATCTGCCAGGAGATAGCATCAGATCCCACAGGTTAAGGGCTCAGCCTCAAAATACTGCTCCTGTCTCACTTCAGGTGCCAGTCGCCAATAGTAGGTCCTCAGATTACCCACAATTTCTCTCCAACTTGGCTACAAATCAAGTTTCCCATGACCCTCTCTTCAGGTTCCATTAACTTGCTAGAGCAGTTCACACAATCCATGAAAACACTTACTTACATTAATTAATGGATATGGCAAAGGATACAGATGAGTATACAGATAAGAGATACATCGAGTAGGTCTGGTAAGGTCCTAAGTGCAGAAGCTTCTATCTCCTGGTAGGTGGATGTGTTTACTAACCTGGAAGCTCCTGAAACCTTGTCCTTTGGGGATTTTTATGAAGGCTTTGTCATGAAGACATGACGGACCATTAACTCTATTTTCAGCATTTCCCTTCTCAGGAGGATGGGGTACAGAACTAAATTATCCAAGTTTCTATCATGGCTTGGTCTTTCTTGTGACCAGCCCCCATCCAGGAGCCATCCAGAAGCCCATCCAATTAAAACAAAAGACGCTCCTATCATCCAGGAAATTCCAAGGGTTTCAGGAGCCTGTGTCATAAATCTGGGTCAAAACCCAAATATTAAAGTAAAAGATGCTCCTAATGCTTTTATTACTTAGGAAATTACAAAGGTTTCTGTGCCAGTAACTGGGGATAGAGACCAATATATATATTTTATTATCTCACAGAGTCATATTGAAAAGTGATTTCTTGCACACTCAAGCTTGTTTTTCTCAGTCAAGATGAGTCCTATATCTCAGTCATAATTCTCCTGCAAGTGATGCAGAAATTGGGAACCACCTTACTTCTCATCAATCCTAGTTATCCAGATTGGGTCCCTCCATGCTCCTCAGGTACACTAATTGTCCACATTGTGGACTATCATGTGCAACTGACAATATCATAACAGGTAAAGAGACTGTAGTCAGATAAAAGTAATAGCAGATGCTGAAGATGTGTTCCTGAACTGTTCATTCATGACAGCTTAGTCAAATAAATGAAAACGCTCTCATTCCACTTTAAGCTATATAAAACTCTATGACCAACAGAGAATATACATTTTTTTCAGGCCTATATTTCAAGTATTAAGAAAAATTAACCATGTGATAATTAAAAAGTACAATTCCTTAAATGAATCCCCAGTTCCCCCTGCCAAAAGGGACATTCAATGATGTCACAAGGGAATTTCCTATAGGACTCAAAGTACCCTCTCCATAAGGTATAGGCAAGACTTGAGGTTCCAGAGGTCCGCAGGAGCAGGAAAGGAAAGGAAAGGCATCCTTCCAAAAAGAGAATGAATGTAGAACATACTAGAGATATCAGAAAAGATTGCTTAAGACTAGACTCAAACCCAGGCCTTGGTCCTCTGGTCCCAATATCCACTCCAAAGATCAGAATTTTAGTTCAACTAACCCATTCCTGGCTTCTGAGTGTACCACACATGTTTCTAAACTCTGGAGAATGGAGACTGTCTATTTGGGACAGAGTAAGAAAAATAAGGTTGACAACATATAAAAGATTAAAAGAAAATAAGGATATGCTTAACTCTTGAATTTGAAAATACTGTCTGTCAAAATGTGTTTGTGTATGCATGTGTACTTATATGTATGTGTGTACATATATGTGTATGCATGTGTACATATCTGTGTATATTATGTTACATAAGTCTTTGTGAAGCTTTTCTAACTCCAGAAGTATAAATGCTACTAATATAAAATATACCATTTGGAGGTTGAATTGTTTATATTTTTATTATACTTATTTTTTGTGACTTAAATAATAAATCATTAGTATAAATTTTATGTTATGAAGATGGTAAAGATTGATTAAAAAATGACAACTTAAATTGTCAAAATTAAATAAGTATAAAATAAAGTTTTACTTCGGGGTTGATAAAAGTAAAAAACTTATTACGTGGGAAAAATATGTTGAGATTTGCAACAACATGGATGAAACTGAAAGGCATTATGCTAAGTGAAATAAGCCAGACAGAGAAAGACTAATACAATGTATTGTCATTTATATGTGGAATCTTAAAAATTAAATAAATAAATAAATAAATAAATAAATAAATAAATAAATAAAAAGATAAATTCGTAAAAAGAGTAAAAGGTTAGTAGAAATAGAAAAAGGCTCGTGAGTACAAACTTTCAAATAAAAGATGAAGATGTGAGGATCTAACATAACATGGTGGCTATAGTTGATAACACTGTATTGTATAAATGAAATTTACTGAGAGTAGAAAAATGTTCTCACAAAAAAAATAAATGTGAGGTGAAAAACATGGAATTGAGGACAAAAGATACTGAGAGTATTCTGTGAAATAGCCAAAATTTCTGAGACCTTCAAACTTTCAAAGACTATGAAATTGGTGGGTTCAAGCCAAGATCTCCAAGAGAAACAGAAACCAGGTAATACTTGGCTTCCAGGTGGAATGAATAAAAAATTGATAAAGGTCTAGAAAGTCCAGGAGAGTTGAGGGAAGGAGCCTGGATGGATAGAGGAAGGGGCTATGATCCAGCCTGCTCCCCTCTGTCACCTCCCCCTCACTCAAGAGCCCTTTGTGACCTGACTACAGCTCTGTGATGCGGGTCTGGGCCTCTAGTCCACAAGCCACTCCCAATGCTCAGTTGCTTGATGGCAGCAGTGCGATTCAGATGATGGAGAATTACCTCTCTTTTCTGAAAAGCGTTATTGCTACCTGGTTGAGCTCTGGTTTTGCTCCCTGGGTAACTGATACCATCCTTGCCCTCTTGTGTGGACTGGGGCTCTTCCTCCTGCTATTTCCCTTATTGGAGAATAAACTATCTTTATCACCACCTAGAAAACAAAGAAACATCAAGAAGGTAAGGAACTTTTGGCCTAGACCCAACAGAGATTTTCTTTTTTCTTATTTATATTTCCCCTTTTCTAAATCACCTAGAGAGACTCCTAAGATGAGAATTCTTGGAAATAATAGATCATCATCATTCTAGGAACAAGCCAGGCCAGGCAGGGGTTAGAGTGGGCACGAGGATTTCTATCCAAAGATCTCAGACTGTGAGTCCAAGTGTGTCAGAGGGCTCCAGGTCACAGTCCTAGATGCAGTGACCAGTGGCCAAGGACTGGATGGATACTAAGTAAGAGTTAGATCTCTGCAGGTAGACAGGCCCCTGTGCATAACTGGTTCACCAGCTGCCTTCCCATGGCAGATGTCTGGGTCAAGCCTCTCCTCTGTCAGGGTCGTACGGAGCCCCTGAGCACTTCTGAGCAGAGGCTGGAGTGAGGCTCTGGCCTCAGAAAGCAGAGTCCTACCTGACGGAGCTCAGAGGGGCCTGTAAATCTGAGAATGTCTGTGTTTCTTGAGCAGAGGAACAGTGATGGAAGAAATCATTGATGGGTCTCATATAGAAAATCCTTCTTTATGTTTTTCAAATAAAAACAGAGATATTTTTATCCACTTTAAAAATAAAGGGAGAAAAGCACAGAGTCCCATTAGTTAAGTGGAAAGTCATATTACTCACATTGAACATCTGCAGCTCATCTAGAGAGAGGAGAGTGAGAATGAAGTCCCAGCCCCCTTGTTTTTTCTTGTCTCTCAGTGTCCAGTGGAGCCGAAGTGGAGGCGTAGGAGCAGGAAGAAAAGTAGAAAATTGAAAGGTGAGCTTCTGCCCCTCAGCCCTGCTCCCAAAGGTTCACCTCCACCTCTCTTGTCCCTGAGGGCCCAGCTCCAGGTCTCAAAGGACACCAGCAGCAGCACCCATCTCTCAGAAAACGGATCTCTCAGGGAGGCTCCTGGAAAGGAGATCAGAACCCAGATACTTCCCAGATTCTATGCTCAGAACAAAGCCTTGAAGCCTCTAAGGCCTAGAAATGGGTGTCACCCAGCAGGGGCATTTGGGCTGTCATAAGGGTGGGAGACCTCCAGGTCCAACTATAGACAAGTTGTTTACCTTCACTCAGATCCTTCTGTGAGGTGCCCTCTGACTTTCCTCCCCCATGGAGTAGTTGTAAGGTCTGCAGTGGGTAATGGATGTGGAAGCACTTAGTAAATGCCAACACTCTACCCTTCTTGAGCCTTGCCACCACTGTCAGGAATCATGTGTCCTTAGACGCAGATGCTTGAGCTCCAGAGTTTTCCCTTTCAGGCATTTTCCCTAAAGGGCCATTGCCCTAGCCTGCTATAAGACTCCCAGGCCCTGCCTTGACCACGTGACCGAGTCTCTTGATTTCTAGCTTGCAGAGATTGCCTGCAAGAACTGGAAGAGGTTCGGGGCCTAATTTCTCTTCTGCAAAGGTAAAAAATCTTCCTCTTTTCTCCTGTGTCTGCCTTTCTCCTGAGCCTATGATGAGATCCCATGGCTGCAGGCCACCTTGGACTATTCTAAAGAGGGGAGGGGCATGGGAATGGAGCGTGGCTATAACCCTGGGATAAGGGATAGCAGGAGCACTCTGAAGTCAGCATGGGGACTAGAAAGGACTCTGGGCCCCAAGTCCCCACCCCCATTGGCCTGCCCAACTTGCCCTACCCATCCTGCCTTCCTAACCCCACCTGCTCCTGGATGTAGCCTGTGCCTTTGTCTCCTGCAGCCATCTCAAGAGGCTCTCGGACAAAAGCAGCTTTCGTCAGCGCTCATGTCAAGACCTCTCTGGCAAAGTGTGCAAAGCAAAGCCTACGGGAGCTCACCAGCCCTGTGGGGAGCCTGTGGAAGATGCTACTCCTGCCATGTCCTCATCAACTTCTCCAGCTCCTCTGACCCTGCATCCTCTATCTCTGGCCTCCACCCTGTCAGCAGAACATCAAAAAGACCAATCTGACTTGAGTAGAATCCCACTGGGCACTGTCACAAAGAGCTCATCTCCAGGTAACTCTTCTCTGGCATCCCCCATTCCAGCCATCTCAGCCCTTGGTGGCTCAAGTTGTCCCATTAAGTGCCTGTCCTGGTGGTGGGCGACTACCAAGGCCTTGTTCTTCCCCACCTCATGGCAGCATAAGTCCCAGCAAGAGCACCTGTCTTGTCACCCACAAGAGGCATCATTTTGGGGAGACCTCACAGATAGGCAAGTAGAGACTACTAATCCTTCATTTGTCAACCCTGATGTCCAGAAGCTGTTGGAGATACTGATCACCAAGAGAGTAGAAGTGAAGATTTGGAAAGAGAAGGAAAAGGGTGGGTCATTTTCAAAACAAGTGAGCTCAGACTGCCACCTGAACTCTTTGGGGAATATGTGGAAATCTCTGGATTCTGAGCAGGACATCACAACCCCTCAATCCTTCTGGGGCATGAAGGACAAAGCAGAGCAGGTGCCCGGTCCTCAGCAGCTCTCACATTCCAATTTCTTGGGGGACGATATACAGCAGAAATGCAGCCAACTCTTCTGGGGTCTTCCCTCTCTGCACAGCGAGTCCTTGGTGGGTACTGCCTGGGTGCCTAGGAGCTCCTCTCAGCTACAGGTTCCTTTTGTTTTATTCAATGGAATCTCTAACTGCTTTTCAGTTCCAGTTCAGCCTGGAACACCTTCAGGGCTTTCCCAGGCCTCACCCTTGCCCCTCCCTGGGGCCCAAACCCAAACTTTGACTGGAAAGTTGACCCAGTCCCAGCTCCAACCTCTGGCTCAGATCCAGACCCAGACCCATTTCACCTCCTCCCTCCCAATCCAATTACCTTCTTCTCTGCCCAAGTTAAGGCCCTCTGGGGCATCCTGCCAGATACTCCAGAATAAGGCACAATCTTTCATCCCAACTGAAATTCAACATTTAGATTGGCCTTTGTTGCAGAAGCAACTGAAAAAGAAGAGGGCTTTACCTTTTGCTGCCAAAAGATCTCAAGAAGTCTTCAGCCAACTCACTCCCAACCTTTCCCAGGACAGTGGAGCCTCCCACAGGTCAGATTCCATTCTTCATAGGGACTTTATCAGCCCTAATCTTGAGAAGCAACATATTCAAAAGAGGCTCATCAAAGATGAACACCTGGATGGTCTGCACTTCAGGATCCAAGGGTCTCTGGAACTGATGCAGGCTCAGGGCCAATCCCCAGGATTGTGTCAGGCACAGGAAAAGCAGGGGCCCTTGCAGTTCTCTGCATTTACAGGTGAGAGCAACCACTCACAGAAGATAAAGTCCAGGTACACTAGAAGATCCCATAAGAAGGGTATGTTAACATTACAGCTAGCTGAGGACTTCAGCAGGGGTCTACAGAAACGTATGAAGAGGATCCAGAAAGATCCCTCTAGAGGCTCAGCCAGCTTCCCAATGAAGATTCTGAGAATGAACTCCAAGAAGGAATTGAAAAGATACTTGAAGCCCTCAGAGAGCATCTTAGGAAGTTGCTTACCCAGGGGCCCAGGTAAGAAACATCTAGAAGAAATCTTGAAAGCACACTTGGTTAGGAAGTCAGAGCAGATCAACCAGGGTTTGATCCCTGTGAGTGTACGTCGGTCCTGGCTTGCCACCAGCAATGCTTTTCTCAAGTGTCACACTCACATGGAAACCAGAAATCGAGCATCTTTGAAGGGTCGGGATTGCTGCGTAAACACCACCTGTGAGATTTCCATCCTCAGTCCACACATTCGACAGGTGCTGGAAGCACACATTATACGGTTTCGTGTGAGGAAGAGGTGGGGCCTACCCCTCCAGGCCTTTGAGTCCATAAATCTGAAGCTAAGTGAGGCTCAACAGTTTCCCCTTCCACAATCTCCCCCGCCCCCCTCAGCCACCTGTGTATCCGGGGCCTACTCAAAAACCAAGTTCACTAAGGTCTTGGGAAAACCTCCTCAGCCCATTCTGAGAGAGAAAGTTAAAACAAAAGAGTCATTTCCCACCTCAGCAAGTCGTCTTCTTGCCCCCTCACCTGCTTGTGAGGAAATCCAGAGGGTACTGGGAGAGACCCCAGCTAGCGATGGCCATGGGCCCACACAGGCCCTTCTGACTAGACAAAAGGGAAGGCTACCTTCTCAGTCCCTCACACTCAGCCTCATGTACAGAACCCAGCAGATTGGAGCCGTCGTGGGGGTTGAGAAAAGGAACCAAGAGCCGAGTCCAAGTTCAGCGGTAACCAGAAATGAGCCAAGGGAGGAGAGAGGAGGTCAGGCCTCAGGACACCCCTGCCATAAGATAGCAATAATGGAAATGAACTTAGGGTCCAAATCTTCAGAGGCTGAAGAGACCAGGGAGACAGTGGAAGCTGAGGAGACTCCTACTTGGGAAGTCATTGTAAGACCCAGTGTTCCAGCCAACTCCCAAACCATTAATACGGATCTGAGGAGATTAGGGTCTCCAGGGCCCAGTAAAAGCCATTTACCTCCTACAAAGTCGGTTGCCCAGGATCCAGAAGAGTCATATGTTAAAACAAAGATTGCTAGGAAGTTTGAGCTCCGAAGGAAGATGGAGTCAGATAACCAGCCTCAAGGCCATGCTACTGGCATGCTCCTTCAAGACTGTCACACTGATGTCCTCCTTCAAGACTATGCCACTGGCATGCTCCTCCAAGACTGTGCCACCAGTGTGCTCCTCCAAGACACTCATACTGATGTGCTCCTTGCTGCAGACATCTTAGCTTCTCACATGTCACTGTCCAGTTACCACGGGGAACAGATCAGTGGGGACACACCAGCTACCCAAGTGCCATATGACCTCATATTGAATGGACAGAGGAGCCAGAAGCAGCAGGAGCCCAGGATACCAAAAGTTAAGGACTCATATAATAGCCAGAGCAAGATGTTTGTCCCCATTGATGAGAGAGAGTACAATAGGAAGCCCAACCCAGGAGAGCACAAAGAAGGGTTGGCAGAACTGAGGACCTCCCAAGCCAGTGGGATGAGCAATGCTCCCCAGGTCAAGGGAATGGAAGACATACTTAGGAACAAATACCTCAAACTCCTGCCAGAGAAGGAACAGGTTTTTCTAGAAAACCACTCTAGAAAAAGGATGAGGCACTCTCTGCAGTATCTTAACACCAATATAGTCAAAGAACTGGAAGATCCCCTTCTAAAAGACCAGCCCGCATCAGCCATTGCCCAGAGCTGTGAACCAGTCAAAAGCAAATTCATTATAGACGACAGGCCTATGGAAGCTCAGGATATTGTGACAGCTGTTGGACAGATCCTGGTGGAGAAACTGGGACTTCACCAAGGACTTCCTGCCTCAGAGTTAAATCAGCACAAAAAACAATTCCAGGCCCCAGTAGGTGGGTGTTCTTCCTACCACAGAGTACTCTCCTCCCCAGAGCAGAGAAGAGTGATGGGAAAAATGGCTTATGATCACCAAGTCACCCCCAATGGACACAACTCTCCTAACAAGAGCAAGTGGACTGGAGACAGGGACAATAAGTGGGCCTTCCCACCCATGGAGCCAGGGTCCCCAGGGAAACCCTGCCAGCATGGGCCAAGAGTAGCAGAGGCCTCAGACCACCTTCACCATTACCCAACAGGCTATCTTCAAAAATGTCTCTCCTCTGGTCAACCAGAGTATGCTCACAACCTTCCTGATAAGAAAATTTTTCTCCAAGAAACAATTCAGAACATGCAGAGAAAACCTGTTTTCTCTCATGTTAGCACATCTTCTATGTGCTAATGGCTTCTTCCTTCCACTATTCTTATTGTTTTCCAAAATACATGTTTTTTTCTCATGAGAGCTGATGGTCTCTGTCTGTGCCCTACAGAGGGAAGAGAAGGGATCAGGGTCTGTTTATCCTGAGTTCTTGCTTTGGCTTCCAGAAGGGACAGGACCATGGAGGGAGGGTGACTACAGTGTGGCATACTGACCTTCACCCCATTCCCTCATTGCATCTTGTTTCCATGATACCATCATTACGAGAACAAACAAAAGCATTCAGGTCTTGCAAAGATGAGTGAAACTATAAGATCCCATCCCAGGATCTGGCTCAACCCATCCTCTTCTGCTTTCGCTATAGAGAAACTTGTTAGCTATAGGAGATGGGTTTGCAAAGGCTGGAATTCTCCCAGTCTCCAGGAAGTGTCACAGAGTAGGGAAGGGAGTTTGCGGGTGATGCTAGCTCTGAGTCCAGAGGTGGGAGGAATCTCTCCCTGGATCTCTTAATGGGAATAAATTACACATGCCCCTGTGAGCTCCTTCTCTCCCTGATGAAGTTTGAATTTAGATGAGCCAACAAACTTATCTTAGTTCGGTGTCACCCTCTCTCTGCCTTTCTCATTCTCTGGAACAGCAGCGAGGACAAGGACAGTGACTCTAGCTCTGAGGGTATGCAAGCCTACTCATGGGTGCCCACAGTCCCCTTTCAGAGAATTGAGCAGGATGTGACTGTGTGCAGTCATTACATGATGGTGGGACACTGAGATTAGGGAGAAAGAGGCAAAGTGACATGACATGCCCATAAATTGTACAGTGACCAAGGAGCCCTTGACATCCCACTATTATCTACAGGCCCAGAGGGGAGGAGAAGTTAGGGGTCCAGTAGCTCATGGGGGCCCCACTCCAGGATGTCCATCCCATTCTAGCTCTAAAAGCCAAGATGAGAGAAGCCACCTATAGCGGCTACTCAGAAGACCAGGCTCACAGAGACAGCAGAGCCTTCAAGCAGAAAAGGTTGACTTCTCCACAATATATTTCATCAGTTTACACAGGACTGAGGACCTCAGGACGTAGTCTTTGACTTTTATTTACACGTGTGACCCAAGGATGGCTCCTAGGGGACAAGTGGAATTTAAAAGACTGAGAGACTGGCCTGGGATCATGTAGTAAGTCTTGCCTGGCTTGCCTTGCTTACCCCAGAGCCTTGAGGGGGAAGAGGCCATCAGACATGATTTGTCACAGAGCAAGCCTAAGTGACATGTCCAGAATGCAGGTGCAGTCCAGGAGTGGCCCCCTGCCCTCTGCTCCAGCCCAGCTGGCCTCTTCCCCAGGCCAGGCCAAATAAAAAAAGCTAGGAGACCAGGAGCAATTCCTCTGGAGTGATTCAGAGCTTTGTGTCAATCAGGGCGCACAGTGGACCCAGCTCCAGAGATGTTCTTGTCATGGTGAGACTCCTGCTCCAGGAGGGGCCCTGATCTGATGACAGCAGGGATGGTCCTTCCCCCATGCCTATCAGGACCCCAACATGTAGGACCAGGATCAGGGTGGAGGGGCAGAGTGGAGACAGGTCTGCTCATGCCATCTCTCTCTGGAGCCAGGTCTTGATTCTGGACCCCAATCTTGAGTCACCTCCAGGGTGAATGCAGCAGTGACAGCACAGCCAAGATGTGTGGGAAGGTGGGACCCAGGGCAGAGAGCACCCCTCGGGCCTCAGGAGCTCAGGAGGGTGCAGCACAGAACAGGGGCCCTGATCCTAGCTGATGCCGGGTCCTCGCAGGGGACCAAAAGGTAAGTTCTGAGAGTGGGGAGAGCTGGATATGAACCCTACACTCCTGTTAGGAGATGTGCCACACAGACAGACAGGGATGCTGACTGAACAGCAAGAAACAAGGAGCAAGTCAAGTCCCTTTGCTCCTCTCCTGCCATAAGATACAGGAAGACCAGCCATGGAGAGCCCCCCACAGAGAGATTCACACAGAGATTTGTGACAGAGACCCACAGAGAACTCACATAGTAATTTCTCACACAGAGACCTGTTACCAAACTTAGGGGGTTCATTTCGACTGCACGCATCAAAGCCAAAAGACACAGACGGGTTGCTGCAAAGAAAGTAGAGGTTTATTTAAGGAAATGACACCAAGCCCGGAGACACAGGTGAGCTAGCTCTTAAAGACCTGGCTCCCCGATGGCCTCTACAGGATGGATTATATAGGGAAAAACTCAGTAACTAAGGGGTCATGGGCTCTCTTCATTGGTAGGAGGTAGTTGATCATTGCCTCTGGTCCTGATAGTTCTGTCTGGTTTCAAGGGGATGCTGGTAGGGTCATTCCACCTTCATGGGTGTGGAGCTGCAAGATGTTACTTTAGTTTCTGTGGTCAACAGACCAGAGGCTTTATTTCAAAGACTGTTTGATGCTGACCTAGGGGCTTAATGATTAAGGGAGTGGTCGTGCACTATGCAGAAGGATAAAGAAAAGAAGCAAGTGAGCAAAAGCCAGTTTGAATCACAGAGAAATAGGAGAAATAGTCATTTTAAAGAAGTGAAGATTTACACTGACCCACATGGAGAGACCCACACAGAGAGACCTCTAACAGAGAGACCTGTGACAGAGACCTCTGACAGAGAACCAAATTGTGACCACCCACAAAGACCTGTGACAGAGATCCACACAGACCTCATGCAAGGACCTCCCACAGGAACCTCGTACAAAGACTTCTTTCAGAGGTCAGAGGTCTCAGCAGAGACACACACACAGATCCACACCACAGTCCACATGGAGGCCTCCCAGTGCCTCACAGAGACTACAGAGAGACCTCAGAGTCTTCACATCCGTACTTCGGAGCCTGAGCAGCCACCTAATGACAAGCCACCTGGGTGATACTGGCAACACAGGAGGAGTATCTGCAGCTGTGCCTCCAGAGAAAATGCTTTTGTATTTTTGTATCACTTCTGAAAAAGAGAATCAAGGATTCCACATGTAAATCTGCAAAATCTTTTCCTTCGCAGATTTTCATTAGCTTGAGCTCTGACCCACAGTTTAGAGACTGACAAACTTTGAAAATGAGCAAAGCTCTGCCAAGCATCTAATGAGGGAAAATATTTTTTTAGTCAGATTTTAGTAATCGTTCAGTCAAATGGCATTGGGGGTCACATTTTTTATTTTGTTGGGGACAAGTCCTTGCACGAAGCAAGAAGGACTTTGCAAGTGAGATCTAACATAAAATGAACCAGCAAAGAAGTATCTAACTCATTCTCACATCTGACTGTGCAGCTAGCACATTATTTAGTACAGAACAGCTTGTATTGGGTTTGTGAAGTTTACTTATTTTTAAATTTAAAAAGACTATCGAACATATGAAGCTTTTTCACTAATGAGAGATTTTTGGAAATATTTCTATTACCTCCTCTGGCATATTTATACTTACTGCTTAATATTAAATAATTAAATGATATTGTTTACTATGTTGCTTTTAAAAAGTGGCAATACCCTCAGATGGCATTATACCTGTCTCCAGAAAGTGAAAAAAAAATCCTAATGTTCAGCGAAGATAGCTTAAATTTCTGGACTATTTAGAAGAATTCACGTTTTATATAATTCTAAGAAATGCACATTTTCTAAGACTTAGGAGGTCAAGGTCTATTTTATATTCATTATACATCTATAAAAAGGACACATGCTTAAAATGATTTTGAAGTCTTAGAAAATATGTCACTTAACCAGTGCTCGAAATATACATTACTTCAATTAAATTACTTCAGAATTGGCATATTAAGTTCTGTTAAAGAAAGTATACATTTAATTACTATGTTTATAATAATAATAAAAGTCTTGCTGTCTACCTAATACTTTCCAAATTGTGCACTTAGTTGAAACTACACATTTCTCACTGGTCATAAGAATCCTGTTTCCCTTGACATGTTAAAATCTACATAATAAACAGATATCAAGTATATTCAAGTTGAGAATCTCAGGTTATCCAGTGTCAGTGTCATGGTCCTTTCTCTCAGAAGAGAGGAATGAACTGATGTGAGGAGTCTGTGGGTGTATATTTGTTTTAATTAAGAAAAAAAACAGCAAAATATTTTACAAAATCATAGCTATTAACTTTTTTAAATTTGCTCTCTTTGTGATATTTTATTGTTATTAATTCACAGAACTGTAGAAAGTGGCCACTCTAATGTTCAATCAATAGTATTCAATAACTAGAATAAATCATCATTTCCCTGTAGATAGCCATATCCACAACATTTCACAATCATAAATATGATACTTTTTCTATTTGAAAGTTTAAGCTCATATTCTTAAACCATATCTTTAATGGTTTAGTGGTAAGAGGTATAAAATGTGACTCCCAACAAAATAGATGAAGATTTAGGAAATGCTAGCATCTTTCATAGGAAAACACAATTGCTTTATTTCACCCTGATAACAAGAAATGTAGATGATGCAGCTCTTCGGTCTAAGAATGAATTGGAACTTGGCCAAAGCATTGCTGAGTGCTGCTCCCCTTCATTTATAGAGATGACCCTGTCCTTCACCATCACCTTACCCTATAACCTACCCTCACTGTCTGGGGACTTACTGGGGACTTTAGGGGAAGCAGTAGGTGAGGAGAAGAAGAAGAAGAGAGACAAGAAAGGAGAAGCAGGGATGAGGAGGAAGCAGGTGAAAGAGGTACATGAAGAAGAGCCATTATCGAAAAATGAGTGTGGCCTCTTTTCTAGCACTGTCACCTAATTAACAAAGGGAGACCCTGGGACACAGAGAGATTCCCCAAACTACACATACACTCAGTTTCCACATCTGACTCAGACCAAATGTTTCCTCTACCACATCATACAACAACCTGTGAGAACAATCCCTTTTATAGGGAAGCCAGATGAGATCCCTAGACAAAATTACTTCCACCACTAGTCTGTGGTACATATTGCTATTTCAGGGAAAAAGAAGAAAAAAGGAAGGGAGAGAGAAAGAGGAAAAGAAAGAGAGAAGGGAAGGAAGGAAGGAAGCAAGGAAGGA